ATAAAGACAGACACATAGGCCAATGGAATAGAATAGAGAGCCTAGAAATAAGCTTTCATATGTAGGCAAATGATTTTTGACAAGGGTGCCAAGACCATTCAGTGGAGAAGGAACACCTGTTCAACAAAAACTGTAAAAACTGTATTTCTACATGCAGAAAGATTAAAGCTGGATCCCTCCCTTACACCATATACAAAATTAACTCAGAATGGATTGAAAACCTAAATGTAAGAGCTGAAACTATAAAACTCTTAGAAGACAACACAGAGGAAAAGCTTCACAATAGTGGATTTAGCAATGGCTTCTTGGATGACACCAAAACCATAGGTACCCCAAAACAAACAAACAAACAAACAAACAAAAAACTAGATAAATTAGAGTTATCAAAATGAAAACTTTTGCATATCAAAGGACACTATCATAATGAAAAGGCAATCCACTGAATAAGAGAAACTATTTGCAAATCACATATCTGATATGAGGTTGATATGCAGAATATATGAAGAACTCTTACAACTCAACAACAAAAAATGAACAACCTGATTTAAAAATGGACAAAGGATTTGAATAGACATTTCTCCAAAGATGATATACAAATAAGTAAGCATATGAAAAGATGTTCAACATCACTGATCATTAGGGAAAAGCAAATCGAAACCAGAATGAGATACCACCTCATACCCATTAGGTGGCTATTATAAGCAAACAAAACACCAGGAAATAACAGTTGTTGGCAAAGATGTTGAAATATTGGAACACTTGCGCAGTTGTGGTGGGAATGTAAAAGCTTTCAGCTTTTCTGTGAAGTGGAATGGCAATTCCTCAAATCATTAAAAATAGAATTATCCACATGACACAAAAATTCTATGTCTGGAGATACAACCAAAAGAAATGAAAGCAGGGACTCTTACAGATATTTGTACACCAGTGTTCATAGCAGCATTATTTCCAATAGCCAAAAGGTGGAAGCAACCCAAATGTCCTTTCAGAAGATGAATGGGTAAACAAAATGTGGTATGTACATGCAATGGAATATTATTCAGTCTCAAAATGGAAACAAATTCTGATATATGCTGCAACATGGATGAAGCTTGAGGACATAATACTAAGTGAAATAAACAGGTCACAAAAGGACAAATATTGTGATTCCACTTAAATGAGGTATGTAGAGTAGTCAAATCCATAGTGACAGAAAAGAATGGTGGGTGTCAGTAGAATGGTAGGCTGGAGGGAAAAGAGAATGGGAAGTTAGTGTTTAATGGATATGGAGTTTCAGTTGGAAAAACAAAAAGCTCTGGGGTTGGATGGTGGTGATGGTTGTATAACAATGTGAATGTATTTAATACCAGAGAATGGTATACTTAAAAATGGTTAAAAGATAAATTTTATGTCATGTGTATTTTGCCACACTTTTTCGGAAAGAGCAGGACTCATCGTTAAGACTACAACTGGGCCTCAAAGATCTTTTAAGAGGAAGAGAGAAATGCATTATTAATATAGGCCCAGGCAATATTGTGAGATGTAGTTTGCTTTTACTATCTTCTGCCTCTCCCTTTCTAGATTTTTTCCTAATTCTTATATTTTCTCTGTCTTCTAAGAACTTTATATTGTGACCATCTACCCATACCATACTTAATTCTGAGTTCTGCACCAATTTCTTCACCATCACCACTATTTAAAAGTTTATTCTCTTCCTACTCATTTTCTCAGAAGTATGCCCTAAGTTAACCATCACTTGGGGATATAATTTGATATTTGTCTTCCCATGAAGGTGTTAATGATTAAATCTAAGAGGAACTCTTCAGTGAATTTTAAATGAGAGAGTCGGGCGCTGTGGAGGACATTTTGGGGGATAATTGGGCCTTCCAAACAACCTCAGATCACATCATGGAGACACCCTCCTCTTTGATTATAGTATGTCCCACCTTTGGGATCACAAAATTGGAGAAATGAGTTCCACACGTTCAAAAAGCCCAGGAATATGGATTCTACTGATAAGTTCCTGCACACTGCTCCTCATTGTTCCACATCCTGTTGAACTATGGCCTTACTCAACACAATTTAGTGATGGCTGTGGTAGCTGAACTCTCTATGCAGGCAGATTTTAGCAAAGCAAATAGTTTCAGATTTGGATGTAGACATGTGGCATATGGAATTAAGAGGCAAATCAGCAACAGTGCAAGAAACATGGTTCAAATGGTTTAAAATATACAATTCTCTGTTGGGGGAAAATAAATGGAAAATTTTCAGATGTAATTTTTGAATAATCCAGCAGTTATTAGAAGTTTGTGATTTTTACAAGAAATACTTGAAAATGTATGCTCATTAGATTCATTTTATAACAAAAAGAACCCCTGTTGAGATTATTCAGAAGGAAAAAATGTTCTACTTAGCTATTTTTCGAGTTTTAACACTTCCAGAAATCATTATGATTATCTTTCTTTTTTTTTCTCAGCAGGGTTTCCCGTGTGCGTTTTTTAAAATTTTTTATTGTTATGTTAATCACCATACATCATTAGTTTTTGATGTATATGATTATCTTTCTGTATTAAAAAGAACAAAACATCATGAACAGAAGTCAACTAATTGTAATGCAACGTGATTTCTTGGCATTTAAAAAATGTTTGATACTTATGTGAGAATGTATGTATATTTCATACACATAGTTGCTGAAATATGGTGGTAAAATAGTTTAGAATATTTTAGAATTACAAATAGATTGTTGTAAAAATTGCTAGGAACTACAGGAAACATGAAAATCTATTTATGCAGATACATGCATAGCTAATTGAATGACATGCACATATATATACAAATAACTATATATAATTTTGTTCATTTTTGTTGTTGTTGTTCAACCAGATTCTCTGGATCACGAGAGGTCTATGAGGTAATAATTGGGATATTCCAGCTATTCTAAATATTTCAAAGGCCTTATGGCAATTGTAAATTTAGCCATGGTATGATTCCCAGACTAATCAAATTTCTTAGCTTTTGGATAGAATGACATCAGTTCAGTCTGGAAATACTGGTTCCTTCGGGCTGACTAGAAATTCTGATAGACCTCTAACTCTAGGTTTGTTTTTTTTTAAGATTTTGTTTATTTATTTGACAGAGAGATACACAGCGAGAGAGGGAACACAAGCAGGGGGAGTGGGAGAGGGAGAAGCAGGCTTCCTGCTGAGCAAGGAGCCTGATGTGGTGCTCGATCCCAGGACCCTGGGACCATGACCTGAGCCGAAGGCAGATGCTTAACCATCTGAGCCGTCCAGGTGCCCCCTAACCCTAGGTTTTTGATCAAAATAGGCGAGTGGGCTAATAATTAGGCCTCAGAACAGAGCTTTACGAGCCCATGTTCTGAAGTCAGAAAGACCTGGGTTCTAATCTTAGCCCCAGCACTCACTAGTTGGTCTATCTTGGGTGAGTTACTTTATGTCTGTAACACCTGGTCTAAACTTCCTCGCTTTTTTAAAAAAGGATTTTATTTATTTATTTATTTATTTATTTATTTATTTGAGAGAGAGAGAGAGAGAGAGAGAGAGCATGAGGGGGGAGGGGCAGAGGGAGAAGCAGACTCCCTGTTGAACAGGGAGCTCGACACGGGGCTCAATCCCAGGACCCCAGGATCATGACCTGAGCTGAAGGCAGACAGTTAACTGACTGAGCCACCCAGTTGCCACGGCTTCTTCACTTTTAAAATGGAAAAAAATGCCTGATTCATATGGTTGTTGTAAGGAATAAATAAACAACTGCAAGTAGAACCCTAGCACAGAACAAACTACCTTGATAAATTGTAGCCATTAAGATTCCTGTTATTACAGAATACGGCTGGTCTATGAGATCTTTCAAAATAAGGAATCTAGGAGTAAAATAAATGAAATAGACCATTGGTAATAAAGCAAGTTTACCTAATGTCATTCAAAAGTGATATTTCTAAATCAGCTTTCAGTACTCATATGTATGATCTCAAGAACATGCACCTGATATATTATTGTTAAATAATATTTTGTCCAAACTGTGCTTAAGTAAAAATTATGATTTCGTGACTGGGTTGCCAGATGCTGCCTAACCATTCACCAGCATATTTACTCCCACAGTGGCTAATGCAACCAGTCAGGGCAAGAACAAACTTGTCAAAGGAGAATCTCCACGGTTGTTAAGAACTATAACCCAGCAGGGGCTATTGTGATCGAGATAACCTATTTTTTAGAGAGTTGACATTTACAGATGTTGGATAATGAAATAAAGCCCAACCTGGTGGTTATTATGAACAACCAAATGTCCAAATCCTTCAGCTTCTGCCAAACCGCTCGGATCACTTAAACCTGGGGAAAAGACAAAAAGAGTCAGAAATTGCCTTTGTTGTGATAAAAGCTCCAAGAATTCCAAGAACATTGATATTCAACAGGAAGACACTATATTTAATTCCAGGGGTGCATCACAGCCACGGATGGTTGATCTTTAGTCAGAAGGTCCTTGTTGATGTGTTTGCCCACAACTGAGATTCTGATATACCTGGAAGGCTGAAATATCGAGGTGGAGCTGAAGATATAACCTTAATAATAATTCCTCATATTTTATAGTTCTAAGAGCTGTATTTTATATAAATTATGTCATTAGATTCTTATAGCAATCATTTGAGGGAGAGAGGGCAGGATGTCATTCTAATCTTACAAGGGAAGAAAAGGGCTTGCTATGGTTAAGTGGTTTAGCTAAAGCACTCGGGTAATAGACAAAACCAGGATTAGGTCCTCTGTCTTCTGACCTCAGGTGGCCTTCTTTCTGTTTGACCACACTGGTTTTGTGTGTAGTGATTTATTAGAATGTCATCTGCAAAAAAGCTTTGCATTATAAAGTAGACTTAAAATGTGGAAAATAGTCCTTATGTTAATCTACATTTGCTGTTTGTTGCTAAGCTTTTTTTTTTTTCTCTACTCGTCTGATTTCTTAAGAAGCCAAATGGGGTTGTGAAAGCTAATTTCTTTTTTTTTTCTCATTAGGCTCCAGTTATGAAAGATGTGATTTTGAAAATGGGCTCTGTAGTATGACACAAGATCAGAGTCTGCAACTTGGTTGGACAAAGAGAAATGGGATGACTGGTCTCTCACCTCCATTTTATGATCACAACGGTGATATGTCTGGTAAAATGCTTTGAATTTCTTTCTTTCTTTCTTGTCAAGTGGTTGATTATGGCAGTAGAATATTGGCCGATATTTAGATATCAATTATTATAATGTCTAACTCTATGCCTTCTTTAACCATTTTCAGGATGTTTATGATATAAAATATCACAATGGAGTCTCATAGTTGTGTTCCTGGGATACCGAAGGTCTACCTAGACAATGATTGGGATTTTCTAGCTGTTTTGACTCTTTATGGAAAATGGAAAATTTAACATGATAATTCTACATAGGTTAATTCATCAAATTACTTTGCTTTTCACTATACTGATTTCAGCTCTAACAACACTTGTTTTCTCAGGCTATCTAGGAGGCTCTAATGGGCTGCTCATTAGCCTCTGAGGTGGCTCTGGAGCCAGACTTTTATTAATTTCTTTATTTGATAGCTGATGAACTTAATTCGTTCATCATTTTGTACCAGGTGATTAGGATATTTTAATTTTTTATTATTTTTAAAGATTTTATTTATTTATTTCACAGAGAGAAACATAGCGAGAGAGGGAACACAAGCAGGGGGAGTGGGAGAGGGAGAAGCAGGCTTCCTGCTGAGCAGGGAGACCGAGGCGGGGCTCAATCCCAGGACCCCGAGATTATGACCTGAGCCGAAGGCAGATGCTTAATGACTGAGCCACCCAGGCGCCCCGTGATTAAGATATTTTAGTGAGCAAAAATCAACTCTATGCCTTCCCTTATTTGATGGACTTACACATGATATGAAAAGAGGTAGTATATTGCCTGGCATTACTAATTGAAGGCTGGAGATTTTTTATAAAGGTGATGTTTCTCTCATAATGATAAGAAAAAAAAATAAGTGTAAGACTTTCTTAGATCAGTGTTTATACGAATACATAACTCAAACTTCTCAAATACAAGGAGAAAAATCACTCTAAAATAAGTGAAGTATAAATGTAATATTTTACCCTGTTCATTTTTATGATTCTCAGGTACAACAAATTGAGGGTTGCTGGAGAGGAGGTGGGTGGGGGGATGGGGTAACTGGGTAATGGGCATTTAGGAGGGCACTTGATATAATGAGCACTGTGTGTTATATGCAACTGATGAATCACTAAATTCTCCTCCTGAAACTAATTATACAGTATGTTAATTAAATGGAGTTTAAAGAATTTAAAATTTTTTTTTTATGTTAATCACGATACATTACATCATTAGATTTTGATGTAGCGTTCCATGATTCATTGTTTGTGTATAACACCCAGTGCTCCATGCAGTATGTGCCCTCTTTAATACCCATCACCAGGCTAACCCATCCCCCTACCCCCTCCCCTCTAGAACCCTCAGTTTGTTTCTGAGTCCATAGTCTCACATGGTTCATTTCCCCCTCCAATTTCCCCCCCTTGATTTTTCCCTTCCTGCTATCTTCTTCTTCTCTTTTTTTTTAACATATAATGTATTATTTGTTTCAGAGGTACAAGTCTGTGATTCAACAGCCTTACACAATTCACAGCGCTCACCATAGCACATACCCTCCCCAATGTCTATCACCCAGCTGCCCCATCCCTCCCACCCCCCACCACTCCAGCAACCCTCAGTTTGTTGCCAGAGATTAAGAATTCCTCATATCAGTGAGATCATATGATACATGTCTTTCTCTGATTGACTTATTTCGCTCAGCATAATACCCTCCAGTTCCATCCATGTTGTTGCAAATGGCAAGATTTCATTCCTTTAGATGGCTGCATAATATTCCATTGTATGTATATACCACCTCTTCTTTATCCATTCATCTGCTGATGGACATCTTGGCTCTTTCCATAGTTTGGCTATTGTGGACATTGCTGCTATAAACATTGGGGTGCATGTACCCCTTTGGATCCCTACATTTGTGTCTTTGGGGTAAATACCCAGTAGTGCAATTGCTGGGTTGTAGGGTAGCTCTATTTTCAACTAATAGAGGAACCTCCATTCTGATTTCCAGAGTGGCTGCACCAGCTTGCATTCCCACCAACAGTGTAGGAGGGTTCCCCTTTCTCTGCATCCCTGCCAACATCTGTTGTTTCCTGACTTGTTAATTTTAGCCATTCTGACTAGTATGAGGTGGTATCTCATTGAGGTTTCGATTTGGATTTCCCTGATGCCGAGCGATGTTGAGCACTTTTTCATGTGTCTGTTGGCCATTTGGATGTCTTCTTTGGAAAAATGTCTGTTCATGTCTCCTGCCCATTTCTTGATTGGATTATTTGTTCTTTGGGTGTTGAGTTTGATAAGTTCTTTATAGATTACGGATACTAGCCCTTTATCTGATATGTCATTTGCAAATATCTTCTCCCATTCTGTCGGTTGCCTTTTGGTTTTGTGGACTGTTTCTTTTGCCCTGCAAAAGCTTTTTATCTTGATGAAGTTCCAATAGTTCATTTTTGCCTGTGCTTCTGTTGCCTTTGGCGATATTTCTAGGAAGAAGTTGCTGCGGCTGAGGTC